AGAGGGATAGAGAGTTAGAAACATCGATGAGAGAGATCAATCAGCTGCCTCCTGCACGCCCCCCACTGGGGATGTGCCCGCAACCAGGGTACATGCCCTTGACCAGAATCGAACCCGGGACCCTTGAGTCCACAGGCCGACGCTCTATCCACTGAGCCAAACCAGTTTGGCTCAGTTCTTTTTTCATTGTCATTAGACCATCTCTATTATTTTTGGTTGAAATTAATTCCTTTTCCAGTTAATTCATCCTGTATTTTGTTGCATCCTATTAAACATACCTAAACTCATTTTCCACAATTTACAGTTAGATTCATCCAATAATTTTTTAATTCCAGAGTTAATCTTTTTCAGTTCTAGAATGTACATTTAATTTTTTTAAAGATTCCAACTCTTCGTTAAAACTTTTTATCATTTTATCTACTTTGTGTATCTTTCCCTCTATTCTCTTGAATTTATTGACCAAATTTATTTTAAAATTTCCATCTCAATACCTGAATCACCTATAGGTCTGATTCTACTGTCTAGTTTTGCTCTTGGGTTTCAGTCATTTGATTATATTAAAACATGCTTCATAGTTCTTTTTCATTGAAAACTGGACGTTGTGAATGAAAACTTGTAGGGCCTCTGGGTGGCATTATCTTTCTGCAGCACTAGATTTTCTTCTGACAGGTAAATAAAATTGATTTTAGATTTTGTTATAGATGATTTATTTCAGTTTTGCCCTTACCATGAGGGTAGAGGCCTTATTTCTAGAGTGAGGCATGTAAAGGCTCAGCAAATTGCTCATGGTGTCTTTTTATTGTAATTTGTTTCACACCCAATGTTGGATGTGTGAATGCAATCTGACACAGTTTGTCCTTATTTCAACAGGAAGAGGACTTGCCAGACCCGAAGGCAGTAGGCCTGTGTGAATTCCACTTCAGTGACTTTCCTATTACAGAGCACGGGCTGATTAAGTGTGGACTACGACTGTTTTTTGAAATAAATGTGGTGGAGAAATTCAAAGTACCCGTAGAGGTAGATGGTCTTTAATGTAAAATACTGGGCGATTCTGTTGCTGTACTTCACTAATGTTTCCTGTGGTTTAAAAGATTAACTTCAGTTTGAATTTTAAATTATTATTAACTTTGTAAATATATCAGCTTAACCTCTGTAAACAAGACCAATCGATAAGATTGTCACAGACCTTCCAACCTTTAGCATTCTGTTCCAAAGTCTGAATGGTGTTATCTTCTGTGGGTGACAGGTTCTTACCAGATGGATGTACACCGTGAGAAAAGGGTACCGTTCCATCACTTACCACAACTGGCGGCACGGATTCAATGTGGGGCAGACCATGTTCACTTTGCTGATGGTAGGTCCAGAGCGCTGTCAATCATAAACCTGCACATTTCCCTGTGAGCATGGCGAGCGAGAACCGGAGACAGTCCATCAGTCTAGATCAGTAGTTCTGGAATTCATAGGCACAATCTCATAAGCCCCAAACTCCCCTGTAGATGATGCCAGACAATATGGGGATTGCCTGGGCACTTGGCTGGGTTGTCACTCTTAAGAGAAACCTTAAACTTATTGAGGACAATCACGTACCTCCTCAAAGGAAATTTCAGTTACCTGCTGGCTGGTTGGGTTTTTTGTTTTATTTTTTTTAATTTATTGTCTAAAGTTTTACATATGTCTTATTTTCCCCACTTGACACCCTCCCACCCCCCGCCAGCCATCCTACCCCGGGCAAGCCCCCACTGCCCCAGTGTCTGTGTCCATTGGTTATGCTAATATACATGCATACAAGTCCTTTGGTTGTGGTTGTTTTTTAAGTTTTGTTTTAATTACAGTTAACAGACAGTATTATATTCATTTTAGGTTCACACATTACACCTGAAACGAATATAGACATGTATGTGCCTCACAGAGTGATTGCAATATTGACTACATTCTCTATGTTGTACCTTACATCCCCCTGACTGGTTTGTATCTGGCAATTTGTATGTCTTCATCCCTTTATTTTTTCCACCCATCCCTCCAACCCGTTCCCATCCTTCTGGGTTTTGTAATTGCCCAGAATTAGCTACAATACTCAGTAAGAAATAAAAACAACTTGCTCTCAAAGTACAGCATATCTCCTTCATTGCAGGCAGGCCTCACAGCACATGCTATAGAGGTATATTAATCCAAGTAAATATATATGTGTGTATATTCTTTTAGACAGGAAGGCTAAAGAAATACTATACAGACCTCGAAGCTTTTGCCATGCTCGCTGCTGCTTTCTGCCATGACATTGACCACAGAGGCACCAATAATCTTTATCAGATGAAGTGAGTGAACACATGTGCAGTGTCGACAGGTACTTGTGACGTTTGAGGTTGTCTAAGGGGAGAAGAAATGAAAATCACCTGATACCAGGTTTAGTTGTCATATCTTTAATCTCCTTTAATCTGGAGTCATTCCTCAACCTTGCGTGTCTTTCAGGATGTTGATGTTTCTGAAGAGTCTAGGCCAGTTGTTTTGCAGAATATGCCTCTATTTGGCTTTGTCTGATTGTTTCCAGGTTACTAGATTCAGGGGAAACGTTGTGGGTAGGAATTCTACATAGACATTGTGTACTTCTCAGTGCCTTGCACCAAGAGACCTATGATATTAATTTGTCCCATTATCTGTTTATGAATAATGTCTAGCTGATCTCTTTATGCAAAGGTACATTTTCTCCTTTGTATTAATAAATAATCTGAGGTGTTACTTTGAGCCTGGGTGAATATTTAGTTCCTCTGTAACCTTTTTTGACTGATGTTTTTAAACCAAAAGGAATTAAAGATAATCTTTTTCTACA